CCATAGTGATTTTCAATCTTGAATATGGTCGTTGTGGGCCCTCGACTCTATCCTCTTGAACAGTCCAGCTGCGTGAGAGGTGAGATGTTTTTGTTGCAAGTCCAAGTACCCGTGCGAATGGTCTAGAACTTGCCCCGAATGTGTTTCTAGGCGAAATTGTAAGTTATGCTTGCCTTGAGAAATTATTGTAGTCTCTCCTTGTTCCGATTGAAATTTTCCATGGCACACCAATGTTGTTGTCCCTAGTCAAATCATTTGAGCCTAAAACCTTTCTGATTTGATAACAATGTTACAAGCCTTTACCTGTTTTGTCGTGACCCTCTCTTGGCACCCGAGCTTTCCTTAACACTCTTATGAGCACATGTGAAACGATTGGCTAAAACTGTAAGTTTGGGGGAAAGACGAGGAGTTTGAAAAACGTATCAAGGCAAAAGAGAAAAGAAATGCAGAAAAGGAAAGACAAGAAAAAGAAAGAACAAAAAGAAAAATGCAACAAGAAAGTGAATAAGTTGATAAAGTTGAAGGGATTCAAAGAAAAGTAATGATGCAAAGCATGGAGAAAGCAAAGAAGGTGAAAAATAAATATTATGACCAAGAAAGAGTGATGTTAAGTCTCTCTAGTTACCCTACGGAAAAGAAAATTCCTCAAAGAGTTAGCAAAGCATGAGCCAATAAAAGAAAATGGAGTGTTTAAGGAAAGATGAACCCGTTCTATCATAGCTTATCCAACCTCAGACCAAAAGCCTTCATTCCATTCCGAAAAAGTCCTACGTGATTTCAAGCTGAGTAAGCTTACATTAGTGGTAATTTACATGAGGGGCAAGCCTATGGTACTTAAAGCCGTACTTGCGACATTCTTTTGAGAGAGATGAGTGAACCATTCGCAAATCTTTGAATTGCGTGTTATGTTCTTAAGTGAGATATGCAAACAGAGAATAGAGGAGTAGGAGTTTGGGATCCACAATTACCTACATAAAAGAGCAAGCTTCCTTGATGAATAAAGTCAACTCTTGATGCTCAAGTGTCACATTAGAACTATTTGTGCTTAAAAGTTTAACTTCTTGTCACATTAGAACTATCTGTGCTTAAAAGTTTAACTTGTTGCCTTGTTGATAATTTATAAGTATTGTGGGTAATTGTTGGTCCAAATTGATGTGTGATTGATGCACCTTAGATTAGCTGGAAAAGCTCTTACCTTGTAGAAGTGGGAATTACTTTGTTTGCTTGAGGATAAGCAAAAGCTTAAGTTTAGGGGAGTTGATAAGTGGGGATTTTGACTACTTATTAGTGCCTTTTAGCTTTTGTTTTAGTCCAAAACTGCTTAATTGTGTTCCTAAAAACTGATGAAATGTGTCTAATTGTAGGAATATTGGAAGATGATCTCCCACGATGAAATCCAACTAAAGAAGGAGTAATCTGAACTCAAGAACAAAAACAGGCAGAAAAGCTCAAAAGTGCGGACCGCAAAATATCATCTGCGCCTGCAGGTTGTGAAGAAATTCCCATTAGAGAAATGTGCAAAGTGCGGTCCGCACATGATATGTGAGGGCACAGAAACTGGGTTAGAGCAAAAGTTCAGAGAACCTACATCTCAAGTCCAATAAAATTGCGGACCACACAATTATTGTGCGGCCGCAGAAAAAAAGCTACGCGGCCACAGACATTATTATGTGGACCGCAGAAAGAGAGAAGTGCAGCCGCAGTTCAGAATTATGCAGCCGCAGATTTCCAATCATGTCAAGCCGAAGCAAAGTAAGGACCGCACATGGAATTGTGCGGCCGCAGAACCTCCGAAAGGGCATTTTTGTCCGAAAATTCCAGCCCTGTATAAATAGAAGAGTTTTACTTTTTTAGGTCAAGTTTGACATCAGCCGCTACAGTAGATGGTTTCTTTTACTCTTTTTAGTAGTTTTTGCTATTTTGAGCTTTTTGAACATTGATTTCATCATTTTAATTGTCAATATAAATTTAATTATCATTTCTTCTTCTACTTCTTCTATTTTAAGCATAAGTAGCTAGATTTTCAGTAGGGTTGTGACCCCACCTTAGAGTGTAATCTTAATGGGTATTTGATTTATTGCTTGTTTATGGTTGAGTGTTTATTATTTAGCTTTGTTCTTGGTTTAATTTGTAGAATTAATGGTTGCAAACATTAGTTCATGCCTTTTTGACTTAGTCTCTACTTGATAAAGAGAGACTTAGTCTAGAAAAGCTTGGCTAACAAGAAATTGGGTCAATTGAGAGATTGATAAGCTCAATTAAAGGGTTGAACCTAGAGATAGTAAGACCCGACTTGAGCTTTTAATCAACCGTTTTGTTCAATACCCATTTGGACTTGAGAAAGCCAAATTGGGCAAAATCACTCTCTGATCGAGAGGTATTGAGTGGGTACTTGAGTGTTGATAGCTATAATACACCCTGTCCAATAAAACAAGCTTTATAGTTTACAACCCATTAGGCAAACACCTAGGTGAAGGTCATAGCCCTAGGCCTTTTAAATTGTTTGAAAAATAACAAAAATAATTTCCTAATTCAATTCTTAGTTTGAAATCTTAGTTTAAATTAGACCTAGAAACAACCCAAGTATGTGGAAGTGTAAATTGAGACAATTTAAGCTCATACACTATAATATATACCCCTAAGTCCCATTCATAGCTCCTTGTGGAAAATCGACCCTGACTCCTTATCGGTTATAATATTGCATGGACTGTTTCATAACCTTAAATAGAGGTGTGACTTGGACGAGATCACTCACCACCAAGAATTTCCCCCACTGTGGCGAAGATTCAACAACGTCCCTCGATAGAAATGGGGAGCGAAAAGGTGCACCAAGTGGTATACTGTGATCTTGACCTCGGCCAATTCGGTAAACATTGCCAACATTCTGACCACCTTGAAGACGTGGGGGCCAGCTGTGCGGGGCACACGTTATAGTGGCGGCACAATTCTTCTATCAACAGTGGGAAAGGGAATGAATAGCCGATTGTGAACGGATAAGCGTAAAGGGCGCAGAATCCGGGATGATAGACACGCACTTCATCGTCACCCACAAGGACCAACTTCACGTGATCAGGAAGGCCAAACTTAGCCTTAAATTTGGCTAAACGCTCGACCGTCATTGTAGATCTAAACCTCTCAGTCACCACTTTTGGTGCCTTGTGGAAATCAGATTTGGCATCGGGGTACTGAGGTACAATCTCCTCCACAGTAGGGAGCGTTTCGTCCTCAGCAGCGACTGAAACATCTTCCACCTGATTAGGGAATACGACGTCTAAAAGGACAGAGTGATCTTCCATATGGGCATCAGATGGGAGGTTCGACATTTGTTATAAAAGAAGATAAAGAAGTAGAGAGAGTGTAAAAAACTTCAAACTTAACAGTGCTCCCATATTTATAAGGTTTGGGGCACCAGAAACGAAACGGCTGGTCATGATTAGCACAATGATCGAAACGGCAGAACCAATCAAGGGACACACGAGAGTCGACGCAATACATTGAGAATCAACATCACCATGATGCATGACGTCACTCCATCTCTTAGACCATATGGTTCCAGCAAATCCGCAGGAAAATCAGAGGTTTGAAATATGCGGCCCACAGAAAGTCATGTCACCAGTGACCTACAATGACTACGACCCATGTTATCTATTCGACAAGCTCGACCATGAATGACATTATCGCTCCTTGAGCTTGCCCACGAGGGCGACCTCAATGAGCGGAGGACTAACTGTATGGGCCAAAAATTAACTTAGTTATGTTTAGACCATATCAGCATTAAGAAGGCTTTCGAAAGCTTCCACGTGCCCTCAGTATGACTTTAGCAAGAAGCGAGTTCAAGGTCGAAGTGATCTAGCGAGAGACAAAGGATTTGGTCAAGGAGTCATCACAGATCGAGGCCGAGGACGAGCACTCCTCTTAAAAAGGAATAATAACGGCTAGTTTTAGATAAGACTTCAGAGAGATTATTCCTATGAATATTCTCTGGGATCTGTACTATTAGTGTTTTTAGACATATGTTACCTTATAAATAAAAAGAGACATAGTTATGGGGGGAGAGATATTCACTGGTAAGAGAACACATTGACTTTCTCTGTAGAATCTTGCTTTGTTGCAAAATATACAAAATATACCTTTTTCTTAATATTCTTGCCTAACTTTTCCACATGATCCAAGAACAATCTGAATATTCAAAGGTCCATCAATCATTCATCATTGTCAGAAAGAATATCCACGGATCCTATCCTTTTCGGGTGACTCACATGTTCTTATTTACTTAAATGTCATTTATTGCTATTTATTGTTATTTAATGCTAGCCCCTTCCTTTTTGGGTCATTGAATATTGCTAGTGTTATCAATATTTATTGCTACTTAGATAATATACGTATTATCTTACTACAAAATCAGTTAATATATCTTTGGACATTAATATTACCTAAAATTGACTCTATTTTATTTAATCTAATTGTTTAAACCCAGATCTAAATCTTGGATCAAACAAATATAATACTTTCAAGAAAATGAGTGCTTTAGTTGGATTAGGGGCCAACTTTATTTTGGAACGCAAGAAAGAAAGGCAGAAAGGATAAAAAGGGGAAAGAGAAAAGAAATACGGAAAATAGCGACCACACTTTCTTCTTCGTGTTATATCTATTTGAATTTTCTTCTTCTTTATGTGTAATACATAAAGAATAATTTGTAGAATATTAACTCTACCTAATAAAGTGAAAGATAGCAAATCTAAACATAAAACAAGTCCAAGTGAAAAAAATGAAAATTCTTGATAAGAAAATATAATTATATTCTGAGGGAAAGTGATAAAAAGGCTATTAGAATTTTCTCAAAATGTACTGCATCATCAGCAAGAAAAAACTATCATATTATTTTCTATATACTTTAATTACAATAAAGGCATTAAAGACCTATATGAGGAAGGATACATTATATTTTTTCCATTGAGCTAATTAATTATGATCAACATTTATTTTATTTTTGGAACTTACTTTTTGAAAAAAAAAAAAGCTTAAAACTTTATACTCATTATCAGGGTATTTTAAAAAAAAGTAAATTCAATGATAATTGTCAGCAATTTCCTGCAGACAGAGAGAAAGCTTGTGAGGTTGGGATATCATGACCATATGGCCAGCTTTGGCAATGGATTTGACTTCATAAGGAGGACTCTTCTGAATATTATACATTTGGAATTCTTCTTCCATGACTGGATCATCTTGGCACAACACGTAAACTTTTCTCACCGACCCATATTTCTCTAGTGTCAGCAGCCCTTCCTTTGACATATCTTCTGTGAAAAACTTACCTGGTCTTATCAGCATTTTTGCCAATTCCAAGTCCTGAGTTGACAAAATATAGCACGTCTCTCATGAAATTTTCAAATTTTTAGCTACATGCAACCCTTAAAATTTCAGAAATTACGCATGTATCTCCTTCATATATTCTTAATACAGTATAACGGTGTACTTCCTCCGTCTCACTTTGTGTGGCAGTGACACGATTCAGAGTACGAGGGTCAAAACTATCTAATTTTCGATGTGACTTCGGCCATAGAATCTTCAAATTTTTTAAAATAAAATTTATATATTTAGAAACTACATATGAAGTACTATAAATTAAGGGGTATTATCACTTTTAGCCTGCACCAGAAACTATTTACATCTGGTAGCCGAAAAAGTGTATAAAACTTGTGCAATTTGTGTACACACACACACACACACAAAATATACATATTTTTACACATTTTTTCCGCTATTATTTTTACAGCAGCTATACAGTGTCATTTTTCCATAAATTAAATCATAGTAGTTAATACTTCAAAATATTAAAAGGTATATAAAAACTTGCGGTAAAAAAAACTTCTTTAAACTTTTCAAATTGTAATTGTATCACATAAAGTGGGAGGAGTAGTAACTTTTATGGAAAGAACAGGTTATTTCTTCCTAACCATTTGTTTTATTGTTAGTTTAAAATATCATCATTTAATAGGTTGATTAAAGTATATATGTGATCAGAGATAAAATTAGGATTTGAAACTTATTGTTCAAGATTTTAACTATTTTAAGTATTTACTGAATTTTAAAGTAATACTTTATACATATACAATGAAATTTTTAAGATAAATACATAATTTAAATCATTGCTATTTTTCGTTTGAACTCATAACTGACACTCTAGCTCCGCCATGAGTATGTCCATTTTAGCAATTTCAGCATTAATAAATCCTTAGCATTTGAGGGGTGTCTCTCATTGGCCCGTGTATGAATAGTGAAGTTATTAGTGAATGTCAATTTCTCAAAACTTTTTCGTACGTAGTTAGTATCGGCCGTTAGATTCCCACCTCTCTACCAGTGTACTATGAGTAATAACAGCGACGTGTTTTGTTGCAATGAATCATATAGTCATCGATACAGTGGCGGATGCAATATATCGGCTCCGATCACCGGGTTCAAGTGAACTTAGTATTTTTGAGACGGAATATAAAATTATGTATAAAAATTCATTAATATTGCAATTAATAGCAATATGAACTCATAACTTTAAAAAGACAATGGGTTCAATCCTAAAATTTTAAGAGGTTGAACCCATTAAACTTAAATTCTAAATCTGCCTTTACATCGATAGGTTATTCTTGTATAGGTTTAATATATGTGCATTAATAATGCAAAATAATTTTATGACATCAATTAAAATAACATGATGATCTGAGTAAAATCTACAAGAAAGTAGTGAGGATTCATATAGCCAAGAAAGTAGTGAGGATTCATATAGACGACTTTCAATTCAATTGGGACTAAGACTTTGTTATTATCAGTGTACCAATTAAAATAGCATACAAGAAAATGTAATTATCTATAATAAGTCTACCCTGATAATTTAGAAAATAAAATAAATGAAATACTTTTTATAAAATATTATATTGATAGCGTAATCTTTTTTTCGTAAAAGTTAAATCCAGTTATAGAGGACAGGCATTCAATCCTTAAAAGCAAATGCATGTACATACATAGTAGTAAACAATTAAGAAAATAACCTCTGTTTGGCAATGTTTGTAAAGATTAGCTTGCATGTATTGTGAGCCAAAAATAGCTGATGTTGGTGGATTTTCCATTCCTTGGTCGAATTTATATTCACAATCCATGAGCGACTCCATTGAAGTCCTCCTAAAGAACTGCAATGTAACTCCAAAATTTTGGCGAAAAACAAAATCAACAATATTTCATTCATCAATTATAAAGCAAGAAAAGTATCTGCAAATTTCCCTAGAAAAGATAGGCATGCAAAGTAACTCTTGAATAAGAAGTGTATTTTAAATGTTGTAACAAATTACCCGTTTCACTTTTTTCGGTTACTAGTCTTATAGATGGTTATCTATAACGACCTTCTTTTGACATCATAGACTCAAAAATAATAGGCATGCACATATTGTAATAAATTACTGTCTCAATTTTCATATAACTTCCACTTATTGTAGGTTATTTGAAATTATTTTATAGGTGATCCTATAATATAAAAACTTTATGCTGTATAGAATTTTTTGAAAAATATTATTGGGTCTGGTTCACTCATAAGGGGATTAGAGATGGCCTGCGATTCTATTAATTATTTCTCCATGTTAAACCCTAGAGCTAGCTTATATAAATACAATTATCGGTGGTGTTTACGTCGAGGCTTTCCATTATACTTGAACAATTAGAGTTTAGAGGAGTTCTCCATCTAGGAGATGTTTAGCTAGCGTTTGGACATAGATTTGATTGAAACTTGAAAAAAAAAAATTTAAGTTGTGCTGAAAAATAATTTTTGAAAGTTGAAGTTGCGTTTGGACATGCATTTTATTTGAAAAAAAATTGAAGTTTTGTGAGTGGAAGAAAAAATTTCACACAAAAACTGCCCTAACCCGGTTTTTAGGAATTTGAAAATTTTAATTTTCTTTTCCCAAAACATGATCATATTTTATGAACAAACAGTGTTTTCAAAAAAAAAAATTGAAAAAATAAAGCCAAAATCTATGGGCAAACGGGACCTTAGTATGTGGACAAAGGAAATTTATTCACTTGGTGAGGATTTCCGGCGACCAATAACATAATTCATGGTTGTTGCAAATCCACTTCCGCTAAGGATAAAACCCTAAGTCTCCTAAACTTAGTATTTACGTGTTAATTCTACAGTATTTAAACTCAAAATGAATGCAAAGTACCTCTTGAATAAGAAATGCAGGTGGATCTTTATGATTGGGCATATAAGCAGTGATGAAAACTGCTGCTGATATTTTCTGAGGGAAAGCTTCCATAGCAAGAGAAATGCAAAGGCCACCATAACTATGTCCCACCAAAATAACCTTTTCATCATGAGGCAAAGAGACCATAACATCCATCAATGGCTGAACGTAATCAGATATTGAAACAATTTCTTTGAGTTGTTTCATATTAACCCCAGAAGCACCAAGGTCTAAAGCAGTAACTTTGTGATCAGTTTTTTGCAAAAGGTTGACAAGTTTGTACCAGCACCAAGCGCCAAGGCAAAATCCATGAACTAGAACGAAATGCTTCTTCAAAATTTTCTCCATATTGTAACTTCTTATTGAGGAATGTTTAGTAGTGTAAGGGGGAGCAGAAAAAGCTACTTAAAAGCAAGACAATATAGACTTAACTTAAGATAGGACATAATCCATAAGGATAATATTTATATTAGTTGGAAATATATTTTATTCTTGTTAGAGAACTTTTTATATTATTATAATATTACAATTATAATTGAGCTTAAATGGAGAAGCGAGTATACATCAAATCACCTAAACTTATTGGACTGAAATATACTCTCTCTTTCATTTTATGTGGCAACAATTTTTTTAGTCTGCTCCACTAATAATGGCAGCTTGCTAATAATTGGTAACAGTTCAATTTTAAATTTTTATTTTTGTCCGAAATGAGATAATTTATAGTCAAAAAGATATTTATGACTTGTCCTAGACCACAAGTTTTAAAAGTTTTTTTTTAAAAATAAAAAATAAATTCATACTTGTTCAAACTTTGACACGTAAAGTAGAAGAACCGTCAATGGGATGTTGTTCAAATGGTAAGCACCCCTACCTACAACTCTACGATCGTGGGTTCGAGTCACCAAAGGAGCAATAGCTCAGGCAAAGGAAAATCAAAGGGGAGAAGAATTAATTATGTAAAAAAAAATATAATAAAAAAATAGAAGAAGCCGTTATTGTTGTTGGCGAGTCATCTTCAAGGCTCATCTCCTTTGTGGTCCAACCGTCCAAGCCAATTAAAGTAGTAATGGTCCTATACACACGTACTCGGTCACGTATTCATACCAGTCACACGAGAGATAATCTAGTAGACTTCCAACTATACCTCGAATTCTTAGGTCAACTATCAAGATACCTAATCTTCCCAAGCAATCTCCTTGCTTTCTAATTATTCTATCCTTACGTTAGGCTTAAATTCCATACAACAACAACAACAAATCTAGTATAATTTAGGATTAATTTCATATTATTTTCAATGTTATATTTGAGTAATTCTGGATACTAGGCTCTGTAATGACAATTTTTAGACGATTGATAAATCTTTATTTCGCCCTTCTTATTTTCTTTGAGCTTTCCATTCTTTATTATACTCCTTCCATTTCATTTTAGGTGAGACGGTTTGAAGTTAAACTATCTAATTTTTCGTGTGAATTCGGATTAGAATATTAAAAAACTTGAAATTTATATATTTAAAAATTGGGATAATTTTATTCATGGTCATTGAACTTTTGTTTTTGTTACCCAAAAGTCACTTTTCTTTTTTTTTGTTACGTAAAAATCATTCAACTTTGTGTTCATTACACAAAAGTCACCTTTTCTTTCTTTTGTTACACAAAAATCATTTTACTTTGTTCTAGTTATCACAAAAGTCATATTTTTACTTGAAAAGTCTATTATGCCCTTGATATTATATAAACCTTCATATTTATGTCATACCTTCTATATTATATACTATATAATATATTTTTAACTATGTATTTTATTTATAAATAAAATAACTTAATATTATCTTATTTTTTATTTTTTATAATATATTCGTTAATTTAATTTTTTCTTAACGTTAATTTTCAAAATATATTAGTAGCGTTATCAAATTTGTCAGTAACTTTAATATATATTAGTAGAGAAATAAATCGGCAAGTACATTTCTGTGAAAAAATTCACAGGTAAACAAACAAAGAAAATAAGGAAAAAAATCATATGTTAATCTGAAGGAAAATCTCTAGGTACTACATGCGAATTTAGCTGGGAATATTTTCTTGAGGATTTACCTGGGCAATTGGTTATTTGGGAAATTACATTACTAGAAATTCGGAAAAAAACATCCAAAAAAACCGACCAAAGTTGGTCGGTAATGGCCAATAATCGTCCAAAATGCGACCATTAACGTGTGGTCGGTATTTTGAAGGTCGTAAGGGCATACCGACCAAAGTTGGTCAATTAAATTCAAAAAAAAGAATTGCTGAAAAAGTTATTTTATAACGCTACTAATATATCATGAAAATTAAAGTTAAGGAAAAAATTAAATGTACGAATATATTACAAAAATAATAAATAAAATAATATTAAGTTATTTTATATATAAATAAAATACATAGTTAAAAATATATTATATAGTATATAATATAGAAGGTATTACATAAAATATGAAGGTTTATATAATATCAAGGGCATAATAGACTTTTCAAGTAAAAATGTGACTTTTGTGATAACTAAAGCAAAGTAAAATGATTTTTGTGTAACAAAAGAAAGAAAAATGGATTTTGTGTAACGAACACAAAGTTGAATGATTTTTACGTAACAAAAAAAAAGAAAAGTGACTTTTGGGTAACAAACACAAAAGTTCAATGACCATGGATAAAATTATCTCTTTAAAAATTACATAAATGTACTATAAGTCATGATAATTAATAATTTAATACATTTAAAAGGCATATAAAAAATCACAATAAAAAAGCCCGTTTGACTTACCATAGTAACTGCATCATATAAATTAAAACATCAGGAGTATTTCTTTTGAATTATTTATAATTCTTGCTACTAGTACCATGTTTTCGATCATTATAAGTATTACTTCTAGCATGTGCACGAATAAGGAAAATAGTCTTGTGATCAAAGTGGTGGGAACTGAAAGGGATTTACTAAGTCTCTCTATGAATTCACTTCTGCCCCTCTAACTTCGCCCTTGCTTGTCGTTTCAACAAACAATCTGAAACGACAATCTTACTCCTTTCGATCACATGCACAATGTGCTTTCTTTAATATTGGCACCACTTTTCTCCATCATTTGAATGGCATAGTTTAAGAGCACCATATGTCTAAAATAAACACCTTAATTCTTCCAACTATCTCTTAATCTCAGACCTATTGCCAGCCAGCCACTACATAGCAATTCAAAGCACGGCCCGACCAAGTAATGTTGATAAAAATGTTAGTCAAAAGTGATAATTATACAATGTGTTAGTTGCGGGTCATTTATGATGTATGGTCATGCGTCATTCACGCTCATTGCTCAATCATTGCTACTTTATTATCGGAAGAAAAAAATTAAAAAAAAAAAAAAAAAAAAAAAAAAAAATATATATATATATATATATATATATATATATATTAATAATAGTATATTAACTTCAATATGATTTGATGTAGTGCCGGTAAAACCTTTTTATACACATTTACTTTCTAGGCGAAGTTAGAATTTAAAATTTATAAATTTAGTATTCTATTAACTTTTAAGTTATTGAACTCTAAATTACGAATTTGTACATATAAAGTGAATTACTTAAGTCAAATATAGAGTTTGAACTCCTTTAGCAGAATCCATAGCCGAAGTGATGGCTCTGCACTTGTTCACACCCAAAAGGGATTCGCATTTAAGTGCATTTTTTATGCATAATAATACACTCCCTTCGTTTCAGTTTATGTGAATCTATTTCTTTTTTGGTCCGTTCCAAAAAGAATGACCCCTTTTCAAATTTGGAAACAATTTAGCTTGAAATTCCAATTCTACCCTTAATGGAAAGCTTTTATAACCACACAAATACTCTGGGGGCCATTTTGACTTGTTTAGGACCACAAATTCCAAAAGTCTTCTTTTTTCTTAAACTTCGTGCTCAGTCAAACAGATTCACATAAATTGGAACAGAGGGAGTAACAATATTTCCATCTTTGGACAAAAAAAACAAAATATGCTTGACTTGATTTGGAATATTTTACCTATTACCGAAGCAAATCAGCCTCCCATAATTGATTGGGCAAATAATTAGGTGGAGTCCTGATTGCTTTTGTCGTTTGCTCCGAAACCAAAATGTTGCTATTTTGGACTTAAAACACATAAATAGGTGTAAAAAAAAAGGTAACAATAATATATATAGCGCCAGAAATAGTGGCGTATATACTTTACTTTACGGTAACNNNNAAGTACCTAAACACATATAGTGGTCAGTTGCAGCCACTGGGTGCTGAGCATTATTGGCCTCCTGAACCATTTAAAATGGTGTGTAACAAGTCCTATTTGCGTAAAATACAGGTGCAGAAGAGAACGCGTATACGGAACCAAATGGATGTTAGTGATACAGTTTATGCGCGAAAATGTGGTATATGCTCGCAAACAGGACACGACCGTAGAAAATGTCCTTTGGGTGGCAACAGTAATCAAGCTCGGGGTGGGTGTTCTTCTAGTGTACCTAACTACCCATGAGTTGATGTTGTAATAATTAGTTAATATGTGTATGTTGCCTGATTTATGAAATAAAATTATGCTTGTAATAAATTAATTTTTTTCCAAGTCCAGTACATTACCACTCTTCTATATATAAGAAAAATAAAGATACTTTGACATTAACATAATTCAACTTTCACAATATTTGGTTTGATTCTAGATAATGGAAGAAATATCGGTCCACTTATTTCACCTTTTTTTCTTTTTCGTTATTTTTCCTCTAGGAATATTTAAATGTAACACGAATTTTCATTTAGTATGTGTGTGTTGTCTTGTCGAACTGAAAAAGCTGACCAGCTGACATAAAGTAGCCTTGTCAACATTATGATATGTAACACGCTAAATATAGCGCCATTATACCTGGCGTTATGTGTGTGTTGTCTTGTCGAATTGAAAAAGTTGACCAGCTGACATAAAGTAGTCTTGTCAACATCATGATATGTAACACGCTAAATATAGCGCCATTATACCTGGCGTTATGTGTGTGTTGTCTTGTCGAACTGAAAAAGCTGACCAGCTGACATAAAGTAGTCTTATCAACATCATGATATGTAACACGCTAAATATAGCGCCATTATACCTGGCGTTATGTGTGTGTTGCCTTGTCGAACTGAAAAAGCTGACCAGCTGACATAATGTAGTCTTGTCAACATCATGATATGTAACACGCTAAATATAGCGCCATTATACCTGGCGTTATGTCTGTGTTGTCTTGCGGTAAATATAGCGCCATTATACCTGGCGTTATGTGTGTGTTCTCTCGCCTATAAATAACAGGCTCATTGTAGTCATTTTGTGTGCTCAAAATTTACTAAACGCAAATATTTCATTAAAAGAAAGATTTTTTTTACTAAAAGGAAATATTTCACAAATGGCTCAGCCTCTTCGTCCACCAATGTGCTACTGTGGAAAAGCATGTGTGATGAACAGTTGCTGGGAAGGTCGTGATGTTGGACGCCACTACTGGCACTGTATGAACCGGTT